TTTTACTTGTCGACTTTGCCTATCCTCAATGTTGTGGGTAGCAAGGAGGGACATCACAATAGGGAAACCACCTCTGTATCCTGAGAGAGTCAGTTACTGAGAATGGAAGTGGCAATATGGTCGATTTTGCTATTTTATAAAACTACCCACGCATCACTACTTGAGGGGCTGGCAGTGAGGGTGGTGAGCAGCAAGTCAGAGAGAGGAAAGCACCAAAGTTCTCCATTTTATTTTTGGTGCTTTGTCCACTCGGGTCATACACTCCTTATATCTAGAACAACAACTTGAATTGCCAGGTGTAAATAGTTCTTTATGCGTCCAAATGGTGATTAAATTGTGTAACTACTGTAGGTAGCAATCTGATGAATTATCTGGTGTAACCATTTCCCTATGTAAAATAATAAAAATTTCATTAAGTATGTAGTAATTTCATGATGTAACCATTTCTGATGAATTATCTGGCGTAACCATTTCCATATGTAAAATAATTAAAATTTCATCGTGTATGTTGTAATTTCAGAGAGTAACAAAATTTCATTGTTTAGTTATGTAAAATCTGATGCAGTATTATGTCAAGCTTCAGTATTAATGTAACAATCAGATGAAGTGTATGTTGTGAACATGCCTGGTGTATTATTAGGATAAAGTAACAAAATTTCTGAGGTGATTTCATGTGTATGTTGACAGAAGACCCAAGTATGAGATGTACAGGGAGTCCCCAACTAAATGACCACCAATATGAACAGGGTTAAACTAAAAATTTATAGTACTGTACTGTATTTTATTTACCAGATGACTTTTATTTACTGTATTTTATCATTCTATTTCTTCTTTTGTCTTAAATTAAGTGATTTTAGATGTATATAAGGACTTTGGCTATGATATAGTAGTATTTTAAACATTGTTCTGTAAGTACAGTATGCACACAGCAAATGTTCCAACTTACGTACAAATCCGACTTAAGAACGCCCTCCGCAATGGAACCTATTCATAACCCGGGGACCCCCTATACGTATATTGAAACAGTATTAATATTGAATTAGTTTATTTAGCTAGAAAAATACAGATACAAAGTGGACAATAAGAAATATATAGACTTGGCTGAGCCAAGTGAGAGCCTGAGCCCTCTTAGTGGTGCCTGATATATACCGTACATTTATCTCATGGAATTATTATATAACATTTAGTATAACCTGGTGTTTGTAAATGCGAATTGTTAATTTGTGTGAACGTTTTTTTTTCATGTATAGGTCATTGTCTGCACAACTCTGTTCTGGGCAGTAACCAGGTGTTTTATTTCAGTGGTGCTGGAGGCCCCCCCCCCCATAGTGTATGACAGTCAATCAAGTGTTGGTAAATCAGGTCATAATAGATTCTTTCATTGCTGTAAGAGTGAGTGACTGATGAGTGTGATACAATATACCGCACTGTTTATTGTTCATGTTTGAGGACTGTATTACCAAGGTACAGGGGGTCCAGGTTTGGGGGTAATTTTTTTCTTCTGTGAAAGATTGTATAATGGGTTTCTTCAAGGTTTAAGGTCAGTTTATCACATATTACCCAGTTCTTGACCTTACTCAATTCACTGTTTATAGTTCTCATCAAGGAATGGAGATCTGAGTGGATGGCATAAATATTACTATCATCTGTGTAATAACAAAATAATCTTGAGGTAGTATCAAAGTTTTCTATGGTGTTGCGTCACAGAAAACGGTAAACGCTTCAAAAGGGTAATTCATATGCAGGTACTGTACGTTGTTTTGTATGAATTATACTAGAGTTCATTCATATAATCTTAAGTTTGTATATAGATGGTATTAAGTGAGAATTCAAGGTGCCAATATGGTGGTTGGGAAGACCCAATTGGTACTTAATAGTGTAATATTGTGAATAAGTGTAACAGTGTCTGAAGGTTATTTTTTTATGTCTGTATAAGTTTATAAATACTTAACTCATGCGACAGTACAGTATTTTCTCCATTTAGCGAACTAATTCAAGCCAACTCTTTCCGTTAGATCAAAATTTCCACTAAATCGAATTTCCTTTATTTTCGTTCAATACTATACCAAACTATTTCACTAACTTGAGCATGATTTCCTTCAATTCTGCACCAAATGTGCCAAACATCGCTTGGCGTGTCGGATTTGTTTACATCCGTTCAGTCTGTGTCCTGCTGCCACTGTGTGTATTGTTCACTGCTACCTCTCGGTCAACTACACTGAAGCACCTTAGCTTTTGTCTTTATTCAAGACCTCTTCAGAGGCAACTGAATTTAGAGGGATTGAGAGAGGCTAATATACACCGAGTGACCTTACATAACGTCAGGTCAGGTCAATACATGGGATCCACTAATCCACACACCACCTCCACCACAAGCAAAAGAAGAGCTTATAAAAAAATGGGTGACATAACAACAGGTCAGGTCAAAAACATAAGACCCACTAATCATCTACCCTACATCCACCTCAAATGCTTTCAAAGCATATTTAACCTGAGGCTAGTTATTATTCATTAATTAATACACCAACACCATAACATCACACACACAACATGAGTACAGTAATACGTTGCTTATATTATGGTTTTTCACAAGGAAAAGTCTGTATAATTAACCCCAGTGGTCAGAAAAAAGTCATAATACTGTATAAGCAACAAATTACTACACTCATTTTGTACTCAAATGTACTATGGTAAAGGACTGCATTTAAAAGAAATTGTGATCTGTTGGTTCAGCATTACCCCATTGATATTGAGACCAGCTTGGGTGATGAAATGGTTCACGTTGCATCCTATGTTGCTGCTCGTATGAATGATTTCTGTAACAGAACTGAAAATCAAGACTTCAGCATTCAACTGATCACATACCAGATACTTTCACGACACGGATTGAGAGATGTCTTTGTTAATGAGGAAATAGCTTACTGAATGTATCTTTGTCTCATGGTGTCTAACTGTACCGTTGAATGCAGCTTTTTAAAATCGAAACTGAACAAAGATGAAGCACGAGCAAAAATTAAGCAAAAGTGCCTGAATATGCTCTCACTGATGTACAGAGAAACTGACATTTTGCAGGAATTTAGTTTTGATGTAGTAAAACCTCGATAAAATTAAGTATGTTTTAAGAAATGGGGAAGATTAATAAAAAAAAAAGATGAAATGAACAACACTTACTGAATACTGTACAGTGATCTAATCAGATCTGCTACAGGCCTACCGAGAACTAAGACACTTGAGTATGTAAGCAGGGTGGGGCTGATCAGGTGTTGCTGCATTCATCAGGTTTATTTATTTATTGATTCAGTATTATATTCTTATATGATTGGCATTTTATGGTTTATTGTTCATCATGATTAATATAACATCTTCAGTAATAGAGAAAAAATACAATACTGTATGTACAGTACAGTGATTTGTAATATAACTTAAAAATAAAAGGATAAGTTGTATCAGAAGGTTATTTACTCAAGATGTGTTCGTGTGAGAGCTTGCAGTAACTATAGCACTATATATAGTATTTGATAGAAGATACCATCCTAACAATGTTATTTACTACCTTTGAGTGATACATGATGACTCAATTTGGCTACTGGTACACTTAACTGATTAATGAATAAACCAGGGTATAAGCAAATGCATAATACTATACACTACAATATTACTTATTAAGTGACGATAAATACACTACAATAATATTTATTAAGTGGTGATAAATACACTACAATAGTATTTATTAAGTGATGATAAATACACTGCTGCACTGTGCTAATTTATTAAGTGTTAAAAACAGACACTGTGGTAAGCAGCTAAAGGCAGCAGCTCACTGGGAACTTTCCTCCAAACACGTTTGGCAAACATGGTCCAGCCAGCAAAACAAGGAGAAGTTTAACGTTACACTGGGATGTTGTGTTTGTGCATCTGCCCAACGCAACGGAAGCAACAAAAAAACATCAAGATGAGATTCGCCATGGATACCGTTACTACAGCCAAGGCCTTGCAGGATTGTGCTATAATTCATAAATTACTGAAGCTAGCGAGGTGCCTACAAAAGCTAAAGAAAAGGCAACGGGTGCATCGTGAAATGAGTGGCGGTGGTTGACTGTTCAAAGAAGACCCTGAATAATGATTTAATAATACCAAAGAAGTTTTAACTGACATATAAATAAATGTATGTCACTGTTTATGTGTTATATTTTAAATTATTATTGTTTCATCAATTTTTACTTGAAATTATAGGAAGGTCATTTGAGCACTAATCCGGCCAGCAAAGATCCCCGCCAAACCGGTCCATTTTTCGCAACAGCAAAAAATCCTGCTATTTGCTGTGCCGTCAAGCCAGCAGCTAGCAAAATGGGCAACATGTTTGGAGGAAAGTGCCTGGTGTGCTGCTGCTGCCTTATACTTATCAGCTGTCTGCCCTTTGTAAACAAATGACTTATGGTGTTGAGTTAGGGATTCTTTTCTCAGGAAAGCTGATTCTTCGAGGATAATATTTTTTCAACCTAGCATCAAATGATCCTAAATTATCTGACAATTATGGTGAAATTGCATAAAGAAGTGTTGAAGGAATCTTGGGCGAGAGAAGGGGAGGAATCCATCCACCCATGCTACCTCCTTCACCTCCCCTCCCCTCTGCTAGCTGCTCCCAGATATACACTCTTCTTCCACATACAATATACTCCAACACTTATTTGTTCTTATTTTTATCTTTATAGTACTGTATAGTATACAGTTTTCTCTTTATTCATAAGACAAATTCTGTGGCTGCATACATACAACACTTTACCCAGAGAGTTCTGTTTCATATTTTTTAGTGTTAATGTAATATTTTTTAATAACCTTGTTATACACTTATAAACCTTAGTTGTTGAAGTGCAGTACAGTACTAACATAACAACAACTGATTTTCTTTAGTCCGATTTATCGAGGGTCTATTAATTGGAGATTTTGCAAACTAGAAAGCTCAAAAGGTGAAAAAGTTAAAAAGTTAAAAAATTAGTCCAGAAATGGAAATCTCTTTAATTTTTGTTATGTTTTATTTGCCTCTAACATTATATTCCAACTAGTTTTATTCACTTTTAGCAAATTAAAAATACAGTGGTAAAGTAATTTTATGTTTTGTTTATATTCTTTACCAAATTCCATATACAGTACTACAAGTATTATGATAACCAAGCCTGTGTATAGTGTTAAAAAAATGCATAAATTTTTGAAAAGGGCCCCAAACAGAATTAGCCTCAGGCCCCAAGTACACTTAATCTGCCCCTGGTTGTGTTGTTAACAGGAAAGATTTTTCTATTTTAAAAACATTGGGTAGAGTGATCCAGACCTAAAATGCACCCTTAGAAATGCATCTGCCAGCCCACGAGGCTAGAGGGAAGAACTTGGGTGGTTGATAGGTCTGGTCCACTATTCCAGCATTTCTGCTTATAGAAGGGGTGCTCTCAGTGAGAGATATGGCTGAGCGGGAGGGGTCAGGGAACACTTGGCGATGCAACCTGCATAGAAAGACCATGAGAGATGTCAAGAGGATGATATACATATGCTTGAGTGAGCTCAAATGAGAATGGTGAGGTGAATGTGCAAGAAAAGAAATGCTGTTCATAGCTATTAGGGCAGTTGAGTATTGAGAGTACTGTACACTACTTTACTATTTTGGTGATTTTTTGCATAATTAAGCCGAGATGATTTGGGCATGTGGAGAAAAAGAATGTGACCAATTTGGCAAAAATGCATGAGCCTAAATGTGGGGGGATCAGTGGTAGGTCAAGAATGAGATGAGGAGAGGCTGTTAAAATGACAGTTAAGAACCTGACAAAAGGCTGCAAGAGACTGTGTAGCATGGAGAGTTACCATCAGGTAATTGCTATAAAACATTAATGATGATGGAGATTACAAAGTCACAAAGTGAATCATCAATCTTGATATATCATACGCTCCTGACATGACATTGCACCATCCCTGGTGAAATATTGCATGAACATTTCTCGCACTTCCTCAGCCTGTTTACTACACTGCCTGTTGTGTCTTCTTTCCAGATCAAAGACAGTAGATTCATCTGTACTTGGCACAGTGCCAGCAACATTGTCACATTGGTCAATTAAAGCATATAAATCACCAACTGATCTTTGCAAATAATTATGCAAAATGCAACAGGCCAAAACAACTACATCTATGTTTTCTAAATTCAAATTAATCGGTTTAGTGAAAATTTTGAATCGAGAAGACATAATGCCAAACACATTTTCAACTACATGATGGGCTCTTGACACTCTGTAGTTAAAGACTCTACGATCATGAGTCAACTCACCCTGACTGAACGGTGACATAAAATCTTTACGAAGGGCAAATGCTTCATCACCAACAAAAACAAATGGAAGCACAGACATGGAATTTTTGGGTTTTCTACCTGGTGGTATTTTCAAGTTATTGTCACACAGTCTCCTATAAAATGCTGTATTTTCCATCACTCCACCATCGGGCACATGTCCATTGGTTCCAAAATCACACATAATGAACTCGTATTTGGCATTGACAATCGCCATTAGCACTAAGCTATGACTTCCTCTGTAGTTGAAGTAGTCAGAGCCAGCTCCATTTGGTGGAACTATTGCCACATGTTTTCCACCCACAGCTCCCAAGCAATTTGGGAAGTTCCACTTTTCATGGTATTCATTGGCTATTTGTTTCCATTCATCTTCACTGTCTGGAAACTGAAATAAACTCCAATTAATCGTACCGCTAAACAATTTGCATGAACAAAATTCTGGCGGTAGGCAGCACATGAAAGAAAAATGTAATACAGTACTGTAATATGAATGAGTTAAGTTTACTGGCAATATTTTCATTATTTAAGAAAGTAAACACTTAAATGTATGTCATAATTATATATTAATGTTTCACAGTGTTTTATTTTTTCTCATTTATGACTACTGCTAAGAACGGTTATATACATAGGGCTCATGAACAAATAAAGGAAATACAATAAGCCTGATTTACTTACTTTCATAAAATCCTTTTTTAATGTATTCCAAATTGCGAGGCAAGTTTCAGGAATAATCTGACTGAGTGCCGAGGAAGAGATTGCAACCGAAGATTTCAAATCTTCATAGGATTGTCCACTAGCTAGAAACCTTAATGTAGCTGACAGTCTTTCATGAGGTGTTATTGCTCTCCTCATGCATGTATCTTGTTTTTCTATCATTGGAGTAACCAGTGACAAAAGTTGAAAATATGTACCTTCATCCATCCTCAGATATTTAAACAAGTCTCCAGGCTCTACTCTCATTTCACTCAGAAGAGCAGTATTTGTAAGTTGTTCTCTTCTGAGAAAGCAATTCTTTGCCCATCGCTTTCTTGTGATCTTTTTCTTTTTTCTGGACAGAGCCACAACACACAAGCCCAACAGGTTCAGTTCATCGTCACTGAGTGGAGACGCCATATCTTCATATCTTGTTCCTGACAAATCCACAACGGAATGAAGCCAATAAGTTCAGTCGGAATGAACAGTTTGCACAAACTGGAATTCCAAAGTCCAACTGACAGAATGAACTGAGCATGGGTGAGGTCCTTTAGAAAAAGAGGTGAGCAGTGCAACCATAAACTGTTGTAAATACAAAATAAGAAACCACACGTTATTGTATTATTGAAACACTCAACGCATGATACAGTACTGCATTTATACAATACACAAAAGACTAAAGCCTATTGTTTGGATACAACTAACTACAGTATATAATATACCAAATGCATTTGTAATCATACACTGCCTAACCCTCTAATAATGTATTAAATATAACAAACAACAAACCAAATGCAATTGTATTAAATTTAAACTTTACTGGAGAACATAATGTAGTACAGGTCTCCCTCACTTTACGAACGTTCGATACAAAAAATTCGCTTATATGAATTTTCAATTTTTATATTTCCTTCTCACTACAGTCTCTCCTCGACTTACGACAAGGTTCCGTCCCGACGACCAGGTCGCAAGTCGAATTGGTTGTAAGTCGAAAAGGCGAAAATAATACATGGAAAATCTAAAATGGATGTCTCTTTTTCTTCTCAGCACCACAAAACTCTCACTTTTAAGCTAGCCAGCCATTTTAAAGGGAATTACAAAGGGGAGGGGAGGTAGTACGTTTGACAGTTGGCACAGGCCCAGGTCTAACGCGTGTATATTTATCAGTTCTTAAGTGACTAAGCTTCTCTCTTATAAAAAGCCAGTGAAATGACCTGAGTGAATATAATTTACATTGCTGGGATTCTTGTAAGATACTGATTAATTTAAATATAAACATGCTATAATTTGCACTAGACATAACAATTTTAGTACCATAATCAAATTAGTACATGTACACTCCAGCTTTGCACTAATTAATTTTTTCTTTTACGTTTCTTTTAGTATGGTGTGTGCATGTAAATGGATGAAAATAAATTAAGAAATTTATGTAAATCTACCCAAAATTACAGTTGAAAAACTTTATATTATAAAATGTACTACAGTACTGTACACAAATGTACAACAATTTTTATCTCTTCAGCAAAATATATGACGTTTATATTCAAATTATTGGCTGTCTTACAAGGATTCCAGCAATGCAAATTATAATCTCCTAACTTTAGTCTGAGATATTATACAAGATAAAAACTGTAAGCCTAAAACCCTGGCTGGGGGAGGGGGAGGGAGGGAGGGAGGGAGGGAGGGAGGGAGGAGGAGGAGGGAGGGAGGGAGGAGGGACAGAGCCAGCCAGCCAGCAAGGGGTGGGGGGGTTGAGGTAATATGTTTGACAGTTTGAGCCGAAGGTCTTTGTGTGTTTATTTAACAGTCCTACTAAGCTTCTCTCATTTTAAAATTCCAGTGCAATGACCTGGGAGAATATAATTTACATTGCTGGGATTCTTGTAAGATACTGATTAATTTGAATATAAACATGCTGTAATTTGCACTAGACATAACAAGTTTTGTACCGTAATCAAATTAGTACATGTACACTCCAGCTTTGCACTAAAGTCATGTACTGTATTTCTTTTACGTTTCTTTTAGTGTGGTGTGTGCATGTAAATGGATGAAAATAAATGAAGAAATTTATGTAAATCTACCCAAAAGTACAGTTGAAAAACTATATATTATAAAATGTACTACAGTATTGTACATTATTGTACTACATTTTTTATATCTTGAGCAAAATATATGACGTTTATATTCAAATTAATCTCTGTCTTGCAAGGATTTCAGCAATGCACATTATATTATCCTAACTATAGTCTGAAATATTATATAAAATAAACACCTTAAAGCATAAAGAAATCACCAATCTTTTGTCTGGGAACACAAGGAGGGAGGCAAGGAGGGAGGTAGCCAGCGAGCGTGGGGAGAGGGGGGGAGAGGGGTGGAGCAGGGGGGGCGGAGGGAGGTGAGGTGACAGAGTGTCTGGTGTTTGTTTATTTTTTTGAGATAAGATTTGACAGTTGGCGCTGAAGGCCTGTGTGGTTATTTACCATTCCTTAAGAGTGACTAAGCTCTTCTCATAATTTGCCATCCAAACGACCTGGGTGAATATAACTTACATTGCTGGGATTCTTGTAAGATAGTGATGTATTTGAATACCTGTATAAACAATCTATATTTGCAATAGACATAACAATTTTAGTTCTGTAATCATTTAGTACACGTACAATACAGGTTTACACTAGGTCCATTGTTAACCGAGGGACCACTGTATTGCAGTGTACTTGTGCTGTACAATATTGACCAAATTCACTTGATAACGTACACAACTAATGGTTGGTAAAACTTGTCAAGTAAGTGAGAGCCAAGTCTGTCAGTATGAGTGGCAAGTGTGAGTGCTTGTGTCCCCCATTATATGAGTCCGTTTTCTCTCGCTTCAGGACGCCTGAGTCCGTTTTCTCTTAATCTTAGAGTGCAGTGCACCAGAGACTTCATTATTCCTTAGTAATGACACAGAATTTGAAATTGTAACCCCAATTGCAACTGGGGTTGCAATTGTTGAGGCAACTATATATAACTGATTACAGCAAATGTGTTATTGTCAATTTGTAGGTGAAAGATTTTATCCTCAATAGATGTAGGTTAACATTACACCTGGAGGCAAATGCTTACTAAAGTCTAAGGAAGGATATTCCTTTAACACATAATATCTGGCCAGTTTGGGAAGGATCATCGTGTCTCCGTCAGGGGGTCGTGGAGTGGTGGTCCAGCAGGCGTCACGGAAGTGATTTTTTATTTTTATTTTTGCCACGGATGTACTGTATATGCGATCGGACTTTGTTCAGTTGGACATTAACCGGCGCATGACTGTGTGTGTGTGTGTGTGTGTATATATATATATATATATATATATATATATATATATATATATATATATATATATATATATATATATATATATATATATATATATATATATATACATATATATATGGACATGATGATGTTTCCCTTTTCCTGTGTGATTTTATCAATATATATATATATATATATATATATATATATATATATATATATATATACACAGTCAACCCTCACTTACGCGGTCCCACATTCACGTTACGCGGTGCCCTGCCAGAACCTAACGTGCTCACATTACGCGGTGCGTGAACCCCATTACGCGGAGAGTGTCCGGCGCGACGCTATTTTTAGATTCGCCCCACCCGCCTGCCTGCCTGCCTGTGCTCTCGCCTCGCCTCTCCCTCCTCCTCCCGCTTGGGCAAGCAGCTAGCAGTGGGTTGCGCAGTGTGTGTGTCTTTATTCTTGTTCCTCACTAGCGTCATATGGCGTGTCCCGGACTGTGATTGGCCATGCATCCCCCCTGCTGGCTGTGAGTGGCTAAGAAATGTTGCGTGTCCACCGGGGGAGGGGGAGGGAGGAAGACGATCCTTGACCCTAGCACGCGCCCAGTTTCACATCCTCCGCCAGACCGTGTAGCGTGCATCCATTGTTCTCTAAAATGGCTTCCGCGGTTCACCACCCCAGAAGGCAACCACTGGTTGTGACACTAAGCCAAAAGAACCGGCGTTCTTAAGCAGCGAGGTGAAGTATACCATCATCCAAGAGTTGGAGAAAAGGAACAAGGCAGGATTGGTTAGCGGCATCAGCATGGTGTGAATGAATCTCGTTCAAACAATAAAGAAAGGATACAGCCAAGATAAAGGCACATAGAAGATCACCTAAGTCTACAGAGTGTATGATCAATATTTTTACGACCACGGTGCTTCTCGAACCAGAAAAAATTACTTGTGAAGGTGCTTGTTCATCAGGCGGAACATGGCGGTCGACCTTGGCGCTCTGTTAAGGACTACATGCGTGAACTGTACATGGCAGTGAATTCTGGGGGTTTGATCGGAACAAGATCACCAATATATAAACATTGGTGGTGAAGAAGCGGTGCTGACCGTGCTGCAGCTAGGGAATTTCCTCCGTTTGGAATTATGGAGGAAGGACAGTACACCGACAACCAGGTGTTTAGCATGGGCCGAATCTGGTCTTTTCTGGAAAAAGCTACCTTCCAATTCGCCGTTGTAAAGAATGCCAGCAGCAAGATTGAGGGCGGAAGATGCAGAAGGACGCATCACCGTCTTGTTACCGCAATGCCTCCGGTACTGATAGCTCAAGTTGCTTAATTTTTACAGTGTAAAACCGCCGCGCATACCTGCTTACCGGATATGAAACCAGCTAAATGTCCCACTGTGACCGCCGCGTAAAGTGGATGTTCTCTACACTGTCTCTCTGGTTTTGATGACTGTTTTTGTTTCCCGATGTGAAGAAATTCTGTGAGCAACAAGTGTGCCATTCAAGATTTTGTTGCTGCTGGACAGCGCGCAGGACACTCGCCTACTGTTAGATGTTCACTAACATCAAAGTGATGCTTCCTTCATAACATACGTCTATGACCCACGGCCCGCCGGACAGAGAGTTAATCTGTAATGTAAGCACCATTCTCTCTGAAAAATTAAACTCACAGGCGACTACACCAACACCAAGGAAGGATTGCGCCAACCTGGAGTGACACCACCACCGATAGCAAGCCCGAAAGAAGATGAGGATCAACAGTTGGCACAGCAATAAGCCTGTTCAAACAATTCTGGAAGTATTTAACTATCAAAGCTGTATGGACTTCTTGGTGGAGTCATGGGATCAGCTGTCTATTGCTACAATTCGTCATAGGAGACATGTGTTGCATGGAATACCAGGTGAGGAAGGAGGAGTCAATCTGTGACTGGTGAGAGTTCAGACTGTTGCGGTAACGGTGGACCTTGCCAGAGAAACTCGCGAACTGTTACAGGTTACTTCTCCGAGACCACCAGCGGCGACATCCTGGAGGTGATAATGGGAACCTGATGCAGCTACCGAGGAGATGGTAGATGATGATGATGGCGGCGTCAGTGAAGAGAGGGAGGTGGTCGTCATCCCAAGAAAGAACAACACTTATCCTAGT